CAGCTCCTGGACTGTGCCCTGGGAAAGCAGTTGAGGACAGCCCAAAGCCTTGGGAGTCCACACCCATGTGGGAGACCCAGAAGAAGCTCCTGGATTTTTCCCTCTGTATCTACTCCTCTCTCCTCTCTGTAAATCTGCTTTTCCAATAAACTAACTAAATCTTAAAAAAAAATAAAGCTCAAAATATTCTGGGGTGGATAGGAAAAATACGGGTCTGAAACAAGACTGCCGATTTCTGAAGGTGTTTGACAGGCAATGAAAGTTTATAGCAGTTTTTTGGTTTCTTCTTCTTTTTTTTTTAGATTTATTTAGCAGTTTTACAGAGAGGAGAGACAGAGAGAAAGACCTTCCATCCACTGGCTCACTCCCCAAGTGGTCACAATGGCCAGAGCCGAACTGATCTGAAGCCAAGAGCCAGGAGCTTCTTCTGGGTCTCCCATGTGGGTGCAGAGTTCCAAGGCTCTGGGCCATTCTTTACTGCTTTCTCAGGCCACAAGCAGGGAACTGGATGGGAAGTGGAGCAGACAGGACATGAACCAGCACCCATATGGGAACCCAGCTCAAGCAAGTGAGTATATACCATTGGCCATTGCACCAGGCCCCAGCAGGTTATAAAAGTTCAAAAAATGGGGTGGGGGACAGTGCTGTGGCATAATGCATTAAGCCACTGCCTACAACACTACCATCCACCCCCCAACAAAATAAACAAAAAAACCTCACTAGCACCCCCCCCCCCCATAGACACCAGTTGGAGTCCTGGCTGTTCCAGTTCCGATCCAGCTCCTTACTAACACACCTGAGAAAGCAGCAGAAGATGGCCAAAGTACTTGGGCCCTTGCACTTATGTGGGAGACTTGGAAGGGAAGAAGCTCCTGGCTTCAGCCTGGCCCAGATGGTCATCTGGGTAGTGATCCAGCAGGTACAAGATCTCTCTGTGTCTCTGTCTGTCTCTTTGTAACTCTGACTTTCAAATAAATAAAATAAATCTTTACCCTCCCCCCCCCCAAAAAAAAGTTCAAGAACTGGACCACTGTTAATGGTGTAGTGGGTTAAACTGCAATCTACAATGCTTAAAATGCTGTATCCCACAGGGCTGCCTGTTGGTGTCCTGGCTCTTCCACTTTGGATCCAGCTCCCTGCTAACGGTTGGGAAAATCAGGAGCAGATGGCACAAGTATCTGGGCTCCTGACACCCACATGGCAAACCCAGTAAAAGCTCCTGGTTTAGCACTGGACCAGCCTTGGCTGGTGAAGCAACTTGGGAAGTCAACCAGTGAATGGGACAGTAACCTCTCTTTCTCATTTTCTTCCTCTCTCTTTCCTTCTCTATACTTCTGCCTTTCAAATAAATGTTAAAACAAAAGTTCAAACATGGGTACAATGCTATGGCACAGGAGACCAAATCACCTCCTTGGATTCACATATTCTCTATTAGGATGCCTGAGATCCGGCTGGCATGATGGCTCAACCGGCTAATCCTCCCCTTAAAGACTCGGATTACCATTGGGACCAAATTAGCAGATGGAAGATCTTTCTGTCTCCTTCTCTCTGAAAATCTGCATTTTCAATGAAAACAAATAAATTTTTAAAAGCTGGTTTTAGAGCTCCTCCATGAAGCTGGAGTTGGTTTTTTTTTTTTTTTTAAAGATTTACTTGAATGTCAGATATTCAGAGAGGAGGAGAGACAGAGAGGAAAATTTTCTGTCCATTGATTCACTCCCCAACAGGCCACAATGGGCGGAGCTGCACCAATCTGAAGCCAGGAGCCTAGAGCCTCGTCCAGGTCTCCCACGCAGGTGCAGGGTCCCAAGGCTTTGGGCCGTCCTCAACTACTTTCCCAGGCCACAAGCAGAGAGCTGGAAGGGAAGTGGAGCCGCCACGATTAGAACTGGCGACCATATGGGATCCCAGTGTGTGCAAGGTGAGGACTTTGCCGGAGCTCAAGTCTCATCTCTACTCCAGTCAGCTCCCTGGTAACAGGCTAACGTGCCTGGGAGGCAGCAAGGGAGGGCTCAAGTCCTTCTGCCTGCTGGCCCTATAGGACACCTGCTGGCTAGAGGTCCTGGTGCCTGGTTTCAGCCAGGCAGCCCAGATCTGGCTGTTGCAACCATTTAGGGAATGAACCAGCAGATGGAAGGTCTCTTCTTTTCCCTGTCTCCATCACTTTTCCAAAAAAAGTAAATAAATCTAAAAGGAAAAGAAAAAAAAAAAAAGAGAGAGAGAGAAAGGAGCAGCAGCTGGTGTCCACCACAGAACCGCTTGCTTACTTCCTGGAGGGGAGAAGTCTCCAGAGCTTCCCAGGTCACACAGGGACATGACTCTTCTGTGTGGATTGTTTGTGGTGTGGGAGGAGAAACGGCACTACGGGAATGGCCCGATGGAAGAACCTGCCTGGGAAGTAAACGTAGGGCCTGCTGGGAGGGACGGGCCTCTTTCAGGAAAGACAAACTCAGGGGTGTCTGTTGCTTTGCTCATTCACTGCTACATAGGGGGCTTCAAAACGTTGTGGAAAATAGAATTAAAAGTTGTTTATTTTTTTAATTAAAAAAATGTTTAAGTCTGTAGTTTCCCTGTAACATGCATGTTCCACAAACTTTCAGAATCTTGCCCAAGCCTCTGGTGTGGAGATCCAGTGCCTGGCGGTGCCTGGTGGACCCAAGCCACTCCAGGAAGGCCCAGTGCACACGCTCCACTACAGCCCTGTGAGCAAACCACACATGGGACACAACGAAAAACACCTGCGCATCGTTAATTATCACTGATAACACTTTTACGTTTGTGGTGTTCTCTCTTCTGAGTTTTCATACGCAGCCTTTTATTTAAACACACACACACACACACAACAAAACAAAAAACCAAATACACCCCAAACCTTTTCACAGCACCCTGTAACATGATCACTAAGAGTCAACTAAGGCTTGGAGAAAGTGAAGCAAGTCACTAATAGAACTGCATGAAACCAGATGTTTTTCTACAGAAATTTTTTTTAAGACTTATTTTATTTTTATTGCAAAGTTAGATATTCAGAGAGGAGAGACAGAGAGGAAGATCTCCTATCCACCGGTTCACTCCCCAAGTGACCGCAACAGCTGAGCTGAGCCCATATGGGATCCTGGTACACACAAGGGAAGAACTTTAGCTGCTACGCTACCGTGCCAGGCTCCCTCTACGGAAATTATACAAGAAACCAGATTCTGGGCCCCATCACGATGGTCTAGTGGCTAAATCTTTGACCTATAAGCACTGGGATCCCATTTGGCCGCCAGTTCATTTCCCGGCTGCTCCACTTCCCAGCCAGCTCTCTGCTTGTGGCCTGGGAAGGCAGTTGAGGGTGACCCAAAGCCTTGGGACCCTGCACCCGCGTGGGAGACCCAGAAGAAGGTCCTGGCTCCTGACTTTGGATCAGCTCAGCTCTGACTATTGCAGAATGAAGTCAGATTCTACTGGCAGAATACCTGACTTATCCTCAGCTCAAACAAGTTATGCTGTCTCAGGAGTCTCAAACCTTAAACTACAACACACTGACAAGAGAAAAAACTACCACAAACAGGAGACGGTTGAGAAGTCCCTGAGTGCATTTCAAGCCATGACTTTCTCAGGAAGGCCAGTGTCTGGGTGCACCTTGCTTCACACGAAAGCATACAGCGTCAAACACTGAGGTTCCTAGAAAGATGCAGGCCTGAAAATGGGAATCGAATTCACACCCCAAATATTTTATATACCCTATTTCACAGGGCGTTGCAAAGGCCACCCTAGGGACTCAAGTCTAGACAGGAAGGGAGGAGGACCCACACCTGATGTCAACTGAATCACAAGCAGCGATGTCCGGTTCCACATGCAGCCCAGCCTCCCGTTAACGCACACCTTGGGGGAACGGGAAGTGGCTCAAGGACTTGAATCCCTGTCATCAATGGGGAAGACCAGGGTGGAATTCCAGGCTCTTGGCTTCAGCCTGAGGGCGTTGAGGGGGTAAACAGAAGGTCTCTCTGTCTCTCTCTCTCTGCCTTTCAAATTACATAAAAATAAATCAATAAAAATTTCAAACAGTCCAACTGTAGTTTTCCCACTTTGGGCACTCATGAGGATAAAAGGTAACATTCCATATATATTATCATTTATTACATTATTTACATATACTGAGAAAAAGTTCACTCAACATTTTGTATTATATAAAATATTCAGATAGAGGCAAATTATTATTGTGCTTTGATATAATTTACAAAAAATTACTAATACATTATCCTGATGCTACTTGATATCGCTAGCCTAACATCTATTCATTAGATAAACAAACAAAATGAATGGCTTTTTAAACTTCATAGTGAGACAGTTCAGTGAAATGAATAGACTTAAATATGTAATAATAGTAATACACAAAATAGTACAGTTGCAACTTCCAGCTAATTATAGGTTTAAAATCTGTGCTAATTAAATTACACTAGAATTCCCAGGACACAGTATCTACATATAGTTCTTGCAGAAATAGACTGAAAACTGGAAAAGCCTGGCATTTCTTTCCTTCCTTCCTCTTTCTTTTTTTTTTTTTTTTTAAAGACTTATTTTTTATTAGAAAGGAAGATTTACAGAGAGAAGGATCTTCTACCCACTGATTTACTCCCCGAATGACCACAACGGTCAGAACCGAACCAATCTGAAGCCAGAAGCTCTTCTGGGTCTCCAATGTGGATGCAGGGTCCCAAGGCTTTGGGCCATCCTCCGCTGCTTTCCCAGGCCACAAGCAGGGAGCTGGCTGGGAAGTGGGGTATCTGGGACAGGAACCAGTGTCCATATGGGATCCTGGTGCTTGAAGGGGGAGGATTAGCCAATCAAGCCATTACACTAAGCCCCAAAGCGCAGTATTTTCAACTTGAGCACACTTTAGATATTATATAAGGACAGGCTCCAATGAAACAAATGAATAAATCACATATATTACCAACACCAAGAATCATTATTTAATATTTTAGGGGAAAAAATGACTTATGAGACAACATACTTACAAGAGATAGCAGCACACCGAACAGGTCACCAGCATCGTGATGATAACTCTAAAATAAACAAAAATACCAATGTGAGGTAACTGGCAAAGCAGGCAGGAACTGCACACAGCCTCAGCTCCCTTTGCAGTTAGCACACTGGCACCACTGTGTACCCAGAAAACACTCTCAATTGCACTTAGTAAAGTCTAGGTATGTAACAAGCATTTTTAAAAATTTATTTATTTTTATTGGAAAGTCACATATACAGAGAGAAGAGACAGAGAGGAAGATCTTTCATGCACTGATTCACTCCCCAAGTGACTGCATCGGCCAGAGCTGAGCTGATCCAAAGCCAGGAGCCGGGAGCTCTTCCGGGCCTCCCATGTGGGTGCAGGGTCCCAAGGCTTTGGGCTGTCCTAGATTGCTTTCCCAGGCCACAAGCAGGGAGCTGGATGGGAAGTGGGGCTGCTGTGACACCAATCGGTGCCCATATGGGATCCCAGCACGTGAGAGGTGAGGACTTTAGCTGCTAGACTACTGTACCGAGCCCACAAACGTTAATTTCTAAAAGATTATGAATTAATGCCACAGGTTACATGCCTAACTCACACTCACTTGGAATTAAACATAAAAGTATACAGTGTCACAATGACTGCCATTTATTTTCTAATGGTTCAGTAAAATGCTATACACACATAAACATACACACACGTCGTAAACAGGAGACATGAAAAGGTCAACCTAGGTGGCAATCTATGGCACTCATCTGTTAACTCCCTGCTTCCCTGTATATCTGACAATGTTGATGGCAAAACCTGGCTCACAGCATATTATCCCCTTGTCCACCTTCCACATTTACTGATGAGTGAGTCAAGTTGAAAAACCTTGAAGCTTTCAAAGAATCCATGGCATCTTAAAGAAAAACAGGGGTAGTCAAGAAATCTGACTGCAGTGCCTCATGTGATTTTACGCTGTTGACTTCTGGCTGCAGCGGAGCCACAGGAGCCAGGGGCTGCTGTGAGCCACCCATCATTCATTCACAATTCTCCCTGCCTCCCTAGGCCCTGATAATCTCCTGATCACGCAGCTTTCAGCTTCCTGCTGTGCAGGGTCTCTCAGTGAAGAGAATACACATTAAAGTATTCTTTGTGGCCTATGGAATTATAGCATGAACTTTAAAATAAGGGCCTGGGGAAGTGGCCTAGCAGCTAAAGTTCTTGCCTTGAAAGCTCCAGGAACCCATATGGGCACCGGTTCTAACCCCAGAGGCCCCACTTCCCATCCAGCTCCCTGCTTGTGGCCTGGGAAAGCACTGGAGGACTGCCCAAAGCCTTGGGATCCTGCACCCGTGTGGGAGACCTGGAAGAAGTTCCTTGCTCCTGGCTTTGGATTGGCACAGCACCAGCCATTGTGGTCACTTGGGGAGTGAATTATTGGACGGAAGATCTTTCTCTTTGTCTCTCCTCCTCTCTGTATATCTGACTTTGTGATAAAAATTAAAATAAACCTTAAAAAAAGAAATTTAAAATGAAATAGAAGGGAAAAAATGTTCTTTGTGGAGCTGGAGTTAAACCGCCATTTGGGTCACCTGCATTTCATGCTGGAATGCACGTTCAAGTCCCAGCTCCTCCACTTCTGATACAATTTCCTGCTAATGCACCTGGGAGGCAGCAGGTGGTGGCCCAAGTCCTTGAGTCCTGCCTGTCGCTGTCCTGCAGCGACGGACTTGGTGCACAGAGCCGATAATAACACGCGTGGACCCTGACTGATGGTCAAAGCCGAAGTTTATTAGGAGCATCAGACTTTATACCCTGAGAGTCCTCAGCCGTACTGTTTCCCTCTCTTGATTGGAATTCCTTTTGTTTTGTATATTACACCAGGTGTTTTCATTTACATGCTGTTTATACCAAAGGTAGCTATTTGGTTGTTGTCATGCAAATACTGTCCAATGAACTGCAAACCTGTGCTCCCTGACCTTCCAGGCTCACAATGTCCTCCGACACCTGCCCCCAAGTGCAAGAGCTCCTGGCTCCTGGCTTGGCCTGGAGCCATTTGGGGAGTAAACCAATGAATGGAAAGTATCTCTCTGTAGGTCTTTTTCTGCCATTCTGCCTTTCAAAAACATATTTTTTTAAAGCATTCTTTGGGGTTCAGCATCATGGTGCAGTGGGTTACACTGCTGCTTATGACAGCAGCATCCTGTATCCGGGTGGCGATTTGAGTCCTAGCTGCTCCACTTCCAACCCAGCCCCCTATGGTGCACATGGGGAGGTGGCAGAAGATGTCCCAAGCATGTGGACCCCTGTTACCCACACGGGAGACCCAGATGGAGTTCCGGGCTCTTGATTTTGGTCTGGACCAGCCCTGGCTTTGCAGCCAACTGGAGAGTGAACCAACAGATAGATTTTTTTTTAAGGTCTCTCTCAGGTGAAAGTTCTAAAAGATCTCCCTCTGATTTACAAACAAATCAAACTTCCAAAGGTACCATTTGCTATATCTGTTCTCACAGCTCCTTTACTAGTCTCCCTCAGGAAGTTGTGTGAATTCCCCAAACCAGAAATGCTTTCTTGTATTAACATTCCCCTGACTGATTGCAATGGTTCAGTTCCTTCAAGCATTCCACGGGAGTGTCTTTTCAGGAGCTAACGGGGAACTAGTACTAACTGAGAGCTAATATTTCCATTCTGCAAGGAGGAAATGAGAACATGGAGGAGTGAACTCGATTTGTCCAAGGTCGTGGAGATCCTCCATCCAGGAGCAGTCTTCCAAGGAGACACACAGCTTTAAGACCTGCTCCATCCTGCCAGCACTGGGAAACTTGGGCCCTGCTGTGGAGGCTGGGAAGGGGCCCAGGCAACACAGCACTAACAGATCACCTACTGGGATCGTTACACACGGGCTAGAACTGAGCCCGCCAAAGGGGTTTTCATTACGCAGACAACAGCAGCAGCAGATGCCATGAATGGGGAAAGAATCTGTACACAGTGGTCAACATCACAGGCACATTAATAAACTTTTTTCTAGAGCTGGTGCCAAAGTACAGCAGGCTAATCCTCCAGCCGGGGGTGCTGGCATCCCATATGGTCCTCTTTTGTGTCCTGGCTGCTCCACTTCTCTTCCAGCTCCCTGCTTGTGGCCTGGGAGAGCAGTTGGGCATGGCCCAAAGCTTTGGACCCTGCACCCATGTGGGAGTCCTGGAAGAGGCTCCTGGCTTCTGATTGGTTCAGTTCTGGTTGTTATGGCCACTTGGGAGTGAACCAGCAAATGGAAAATCTCTCTATCCTCTCTTTTGGTGAAGTCTACCTTTCAAATAAAAATAAATGAATCATTTGTTTTAAAGTCCTATTTTCTATTCTACACTTCTGTAGGTACGGGGCTTCCCCCGCTCCCACTGTCCCTTGTAGCTTACATTAATACAGCCCTTCAGCTGTAGTCTCAACTCCAGTGCTCTGCTCTTTCTGTCCATCACGCCACTACAGGTACAAGCAATGGTGGAGAGTCTAGTATCTTGTTGTCAAGGTATATTTAACAGTTTGATTGGGGACCTTCCTTTAAAAATAAAGAAATCTTTTTAAAATGCTTTTTTTGCGTATGCAGACCAGACAAACAAAATTCTCTAACTGCAATAGAAAGGAAAAAAAAAGTCTAATCACATATGGTGAATAACAAACGGACTTAGTAACTCCCACAATTCTGATACTCCTTTATCAACTACTACAAACTGGAAGGGTGACCTCATGTAATTGCTGCAAAGGGAGGAGGGGCGACCTAGTGCTGACTACTGACGAAATTCAATCATTCCTCCTGCTGGGGAAAAAAATCATGATTTATTTATTTATAGGTGAATTCAAGTATCAGGTATAAAGTGTATTCCATAGAGGAAAGAAACGTTTGTTCAGTCACCAAACATATAGGAAGTCATAATATGTCTTTTTCACTTCTCAAGGCAATACCCACTGGGCATTCGTCTGCGGTGTGAAAGCAGGGTCTGGGCACTGGTCAGAGACCGTGTTCCCCACCCCTCCAACTTCCAGCCCACGTGATCTCCAGCTGAGAAAGAATGACTAAACAGCCAAAGAGGAATCACAGAGGCAGTGTGCCAAGGCTTCTTTGAAGACAAGGTTCTACTTTATACATAAACAAATATATATATTCTTTTTACTTTCCAGACAAGCAAAGTTCTAACAAAGAAATCTGCAAACCCAAGCAAATCCACCTTCTTTAGCCAACCCGCACAGAGAGCTGGAGCGCCCTCCCAGGGGTATGACGCAGGGCTTTCTGAACAGCACAGGCTCTTAGGTAATTTAACCCCGCTGCAGACGGGACGCCCACGGGGTGCAAGGCCTGGACCAGCCGGTTCCAGAAGCCGACCAGGCCCGGCCCGCGGGAGGCACGGCTGCAGCCCCCGTATGGGGCTTCAGGAGGCAGGCCTAAAGCGGCGAAAAGTCGACTACGGAAGGACCCCCAACTTCTGGAGTCGACAGAAACTCAAGCTTCGACTGTGCTCTTCCCACACAAGGATCAGGATGAGCAAAACCTCCCTTAAATCTCGTTTCCCCGGAGGGCCCGCCGAAGGTCACCTCCCTCGTGCCGGGGCCGCTGCGATTCGGACGCCGGGACCCTGGGTCGCCCAGGTCCCCGGGGATCGAGGAGGCGGCTGTGGGTGGGGAGACGGCGGGGCACCGGAGCAGGTGCAGGGCTCGGCCCTTCCCGCCCGGGCTGGCCGCGCCGCGTCCCCTCACCCCACAAGGCCGGGCCTCAGCGCACTTACCCCCGGTTAGGACCCTTCGGGATGAACCAGGGCACAAGGAAGCCGACGAAGCCCCAGAACACGCTCATCACGATGAGAGGCACGGTGAGGCCGTGGTACGCCATGCTGTGCGCGGCAGATCCAAGCCCCTGGCCGGCCGCCTCGCTCACGTCCCACCCGGAAGTGTCAACCCGCACCGCGTGACCAGGCGCGCGCGCGGAGCCCCGCCCCCGCGCTCACGTGACCGGCGCTGGCCCCGCCCCCGGGACCGGCTTAGCTGACCGCCGTTCCTTCGCGTCAAAATTTTTATTGATTTCAAAAGGCAGAGTCCCAGCGAGAGAAAGGGAGAAAAGAGAGAGCAAGAGCTTCCTTCTGGGCCAGGCTGGAAGCAGAGCCACGTGCCAGGACCTCTGTTGGGGTCTTCCAAGTGGATGACAGGAACACGGGTCCTTGAGTCATGCCCCATGCTTCCCAAGGTGTCCTTTACCAGGACGCTAGAATAGGAAGTGGAGCCTGGATTAGAGGACGCAGGCCTCCGACAGGGAATGGGGGTGCCTGGAATAGAGGACTCAGGCACCCTTACGGTATGTGGGTGCCCCAGCCGCTGTCCTGCCTTTACTCATATCTTAACAATAATAAACTAGTATTCCAACGAATTCCTGTGTGCCAGGCATGGAGGTATTAGCTACGCATGCACCAGCTCATGTTACACCCCTCGCTAGAGGCTCTGGGCAGAATTAATTATTATCTAAGTTTCTTTTTCTTTTTGAAGATTCATTTTTATTGGAAAGTCAGATATAGAGAGAAGGAGGAACAGAGAGGAAGATCTTCCATGCACTGATTCACTTCCCAAGTGACTGCATTGGCCAGAGCTGAGCTGATCCAAAGCCAGGAGCCAGGAGCTCTTCCGGGTCTCCTACGTGGGTGCAGGGTCCCAAGGCTTTGGGCTGTGCTTGACTGCTTTCCCAGGCCACAAGCAGGGAGCTGGGTGGGAAGTGGAGCTGCTGGGACACAAACCGGCACCCATATGGGATCCTAGTACATGAAGTGAGAATTTTAGCTGCTAGGCTACTGCACTGGGCCCTATCTACACTTTTTCTTAACCATTTCTTTTTTAATGTGTTTATAATTGCAACAAATGTAACATGCAGTTGACTATTTTAATCACTTTTGTTAAAGATTTATTTTAGGACCCAGCACAATGACTCAGTTGGCTAGTCCTCCCCTTGCAAGCAGCAGAATCCCAATTGGACGTGGGTTACTGTCCTGGCTGCTCTGTTCCCATCCCAGCATCCTTGCTGCTTGCGGCCTGGGAAAATGTGCCTTTCTAATGAAAATAAATAAATCTTTTCTTTTAAAAGGAGATTTATCTTCATTTGAAAGGCAAATCTACAGAGAGAACGGAGAGATACAGAAAGAGAGATCTTCCATCCACTGGTTCACTCCCCAAATAGACACAAGGGCCAGAGCTTGGATGGTATAAAACCAGGACCCAGGAGTTTTTTCTGGATCTCCCTTACAGGTGCAGAGTTCCAACGACTTGTATTATCTTTTGATGCTTTCCCAGGCTCAGTGGCAGGGAAATGGATTAGAAGTGGAGCAAGCGTAACTCGAACCTGCACGCATGTGGATGCCAGCGCTGCAGGTGGACGCTGAACCGACTACACCAAGGCACCAGCTCCTCTCTCTCAACCATTGCTGACTGTGCAGTTAGTGTATTCACATTACTGTGTAAACAATCTTTAGAACGTTTTCATTTCCGTAAACCAGCAACCTTGCATTTCTGCTGTAAAATTAAAAATAGACCCACATGCCATCCAGCTACCAAGCTTCTGGATATGTCCTCTAAGGGAATGAAACCAGGCTGTTAAAGAGGTACTTGCGTCTGTTCAGTGCAGCACTATTCACAATGTTAACAATATGGAGTGGGGCCTGGCGCAGTAGCCTAGTGGCTTAAGTTCTCGCCTTGTACACGATGGGATCCCAAATGGGAGCTGGCTCATATCCCGGCTGCTCTACTTCCCATCCAGCTCCTGCTTGTGGCCTGGGAAAGCAGTTGAAGACAGCCCAAGGCCTTGGGACCCTGCACCCGTGTGGGAGACTCGGAAGAAGCTCCGGGCTGCAGGCTTCAGAACAGCTCAGTTCCAGCCGTTGTAACCATTTGGGGAATGAACCAGTGGATGGAAGATATTTCTCTGTCTCTCCTTCTCTCTGTAAATCTGCCTTTCCAATAAAAATAAATGAATCTTTTTTAAAATTAAGATTTTTAGTTTCGTTGTATATATGACATACATAAACACATTTTGTTTATCCATTCATCCACTGAGAAACACTTGACTGTCATGAATTCACTCGCATTTTTAAGAGAAATGTAAATCTTTCCTGTTACATTGACCTTGTGAGTTGTGTCTAACCTTCCTATCATCTTCTAGAAGGAGCAGGTCCACGTCATCCTCCAGGAAACATGTTCAGACTATAGTGTGGGCTAGCGTTGGCCAACAGCTCCCTCTATCAGCCAACCGGCCAAAAACATTTTATCACAGGTTTCCAATGGAACCTATGAGAGGGGACTCAGATCAAGGGGCCCAGCCAAAGAAGGAACGTTCTGTAAGCCTTCGAGGTCCTTGAAGTGCAGGAGTAAGTCAGCCTCTGGCCACTGCATTCTAAGGGCACCTAAGGAGTCCCTGAGAACCCCCCGACAAGTCTGAGGGAGCCCCTCTGTCCCCAGGACTGTTAAAAATAAAAATGATAGGGGCCCCTTGTTTTGGACTAAACTCCCGCAAAGACCAGGCTGGAAGTCAAAAGGAATCGCTTATGCTGACATTGTATGCCACTGAGCTAACACCCAGCTGTGTGAGTAGCCAAGAAATCAGTGGAGTGGGGGTGTTGTGTGTGTGTGTGTGTGTGTGTGTGTGTGTGTGTGTGTGTGAGCACTGTAGTGACCAGGGTAAGCCAGGGCTCGTGACCCCAGCATCGGCTCCCTGCCGCTCTGCTTCTGATCTTCGCTCCCTGCTAGTTCACCTGGGAAAGCCGCAGCCGAGGAAACCTCCAAGTGCTTGGGCCCCTGCCATGCTTGGGGGAGGCCCGGGTGGAGTTCTGGCTACTGGCTTCACCTGGCCCAGCTTTCATTATTGTGATGGACTGGGGAATGAAGGAGCAGAAGGAAGGTAGATCTCTCCATTATTCTGCCTTTTAACTGAATAAGTAATAAGTCATTAAAAAAAAGAAACAACAAAACAGAATGAGAAAAGTAACAACCACATTTCACAGGCTGGCCAATTCAACAGCAGTTAACAAAGCTTCCCAAGTCTTAATCCTTTAACAGCGAAGCAGGGACTGAAAATAACAACCTCCTATCTCCTCCTCTCACTCTGCCCACGCCACAAGAGAAGTAACTTTGAAGTGATCGATGGGCTTTTTGTTTGTTTCTACTTTCCGTAGCCCTCCTCTGGCTGTGAAACACAATTCCGCTTCTCTCACATCCACTGCTGCCTTATACTGCGGTGGAAAAGGACGCCAGCCAACATTGGTAAGTGTGTTGTTGTGATGTGCTCAGTGGCCGAGCCTGCCAGGGGCTGTTTCCTCCCTTTGCTTCACACACAGGAGTTGAACGCTGTCCTGGGATTGACCCTAGGCTGGCCAGCCTCTGCCACGGCCTAAGGAACACGAGTCGTGGCTGGGCACGGTCCTCCACTACACATCCACAGCAGACGGAATGCGGGGCAGTTTAAGAGCCAGCTTCTAGAAAGGAAACTAACCAAAAAAAACCCTGAAACATTGACCTCACCTACCTGCCTCCATCGCTCACCCTCCCCACCCTAATCAGAGGCCCATATGGGCATGCATGCCCCTCAGCTATGTAAACAGTATTAAAAATAAAATTTTAAATGCTAAGAAAAAAATTCTACTGCTTTTTATTAAGTCAGACATGAAAGAATCTTGTAAAAATGCAACACAAAGTCATCACTCTTCCTAATATGTTTTTGTTTGTTTTGGAAAAGATAATTATCTCCTGTTTAAAAAGTGTTATTTCTGCTAGTATGTGATAAGCTAACTGTTGCTATTTTTAAAATAACTTTAGAAAATGCTAACAGTTTCTGTTTTAATTTCTAATTGGAAAACTAAATTCACATACATTTAAGCTTCTGGGGTCCTTAGTCATTCCTTTTTTTTTTTTAAACACAGATTTATTTTTGTTTGAAGGCAGATTAGTAAAGAGAAGACAGAGACACAGAAAGAGCTTCCATCTGCTGGTTCACTCCCCAAATGGCTGCAATGGCCAGAGCTGAGCTGATTTAGGAAATGGGAGCCAGGAGCTTCTTCCTGGTCTCTCATGTGGGTGCAGAATCCCAAGGCCTTGAGCCATCCTCTGCTGCTTTCCCAGGCCATAAGCAGAAAGCTGTACGGGAAGTAGAGCAGCCGAGACATGAACCAACGCCGCTATGAGTTGCTTGGCACTACAGGACGAAGAATTTGTCTGCTCTGTCACCACGCCAGCCCCCTTAATCATTCTTATGTGTAAAAAAGAGGGGTGGGGCATTGTGGCATAGCAGGTTAATCCCAGGGAAGTGTCAAGTCAAGCCCTGAATGCTCCATTTTTTTTTTTAAAAAAAGATTTATTTTTATTTGAAAGGCAGGTTTTACAGAGAGAAGGGGACAGAGAAATCTTCCACCTGCTGGTTCACTCCCCAAATGGCTGCAACAGCCAGAGCTGAGTTGCTCCAAAGCCAGGAGCCAGGAGTTTCTTCTGGGTTTCCTGTGTCCCAAGGCTTTGAGCCATCTTGCACTGCTTTCCCAGGCCACAAGCAGTGAGCTGGATGAGAAGTGCACCAGCTGGGACATGAACCAGCGCCCATATGGGATCCCAGCACTTGCAAGGTGAGGATTTAGCTGTTGAACCATTGCACTGGGCCCTGTTCCACCTCTGATCCTGTTGCCTGCTAAAGTACCTGGGATGGCAATGGCAGGTGGCACAAGTGCTAGGGTTTCTCCTTCACATGGGGGATCTGGGTGGAGAACTAGGCTCCTGTCTGGCCTGGCCCAGCCCTGGGTGTCAGAATCCAGTGGCTGGAAGCTCTCTGTGTGGCTGATTTAGCTATTTCTGAGGAAGGCTATTTAATTTCATGTTTGTGCACATTTAGACTGTAGTTATGGTGTCCCAGCAATAACTCAAACAACTACTTAAACTTGGACTCTTTGCTTGACTGGTGAAGACTTCTTTGAAGAATCAAGTTCTCACTATTCAATTGCATGTGCAGAATATCTGGGAGTGACTGCCTATGAAGGGAACATAGGGTCAGTGACCAGAAATGATACTTCTCGTGCTTTCAGTAACTTTTTTAGCTTGTTACCATATATTCTGGAAGTATTGCTTTAGAAACACACACACACACACACACACACACACGCTAAAAAGGGCAATGAACTGAGAAGACCCAAGGCAGTTTGAGATGTTGAGATGTTCGGTCTGCAGCAGCAGCAGAGGGTGGCGGACTCAGGCTCACAGAATTGTCTGGTTCCTCCAAGGCTCAGATTAAGCTGCCGACCTGGTTTGACTTACGTGGAAAACTTCGTAGCTGAGTAGCTCATGCCCACGTGCGATAGGAAAGCAGACACTGAGCAGCGGTTTTCCGGAAGACTCCATGTTAAAGCCTTTCCTAAATGGCGCGAAAGACCCACTCGAGGGAACAAACGTTTGCAAATGTGATGAAGTCGGGAGAAAATTGCTACACGCGGTCATTTCAGAAGAGGCGCTGACACCCCGAGCTGAGCCCTGAGAACAGGCAAGTCCACCCACCTGGGTGCTGCAGACTCTGCTTCTTGCAACAAACCCAGCACTGCTGTCCGGATTGGTTTAGCCCTCCCCTTCATTCTAGCAGTCGTTGAACTCCCTTGAGAACTTTTCTCACAGCTCCACTGAATAAACACATTGTCAAGCTCCTCTAAAAGAAATAGCTGAAATTTCCTGACTACTCTTTATGCACAGTATCACAAATAAGACGTGTCACAGCTTTTTTTTTAAAAGGTTTATTTTATTTTTATTAGAAAGTGAGATAGAGAGACAGAGAGGAAGATCTTCCATCTGCCGATTCACTCTCCATAACAGCCAAAGCTGCGCCAATCTGAAGCCAGGAACCCGGAGCCTCTCCCAGGACAGTGCCAATGCCTCCGACCTCCCTCAACCCCTCGCTAACCTGGGGGAAGGGTTAACAGTTAACCCCACTCGGGGACAGATGGCACCGTCTGGAAACACCCTGGCTTGTCCCAATTGCAAAGAGGAGGAGTGCCAAGTGAGGCGACAGAGCAGGGACGCTGTCAGATCACCACGCCCAGTGCAGCTCTCCCTGGGCCGGGACCTGCTCCAAGATGTCCACAGGGCTGAGGCTGAACAATCTGCGCTACTATGCGACTCTCCCACAGAACACGGGCCCCTCCATCTTGTCTGCCACCAGGATCTAGTGTCCCTCGCTCTCCCCCATCTTGTCCTCCTCCCACTCATGCTGAGCGGGTGTGTGGGGCACACACACAGAGGGTCCTTATTCTCCCACAGGGGCCCTGCTCTTTCCAAACTTGGCCACCTCAGATTCGCTTCTCTATTTCCCCTGCTAAAGCCACATGTCATCACACACTCAGGTCTCGGCCAAAACCCCTGTCCGTCAATTGCACTAAACTCAGATACAGAAACACGCCACCAGGTCTGTTCAACCAGCCACCCTGAGCACACCTGGAGATGTAGCAGCTGCGGGAACCACATCAAAAGGTGCCTTTGGGCTTGCGTGGATGGCATCTGCTCTTCTTGTCCTCAAGACCACTGTAGTACCTGATGCCCTAACACAGGGCAAGCGCTGCCCCCGGACCCTGGGCGCCCACCCACCCTTCGCCCACCCACCCTTCGCCCACCCACCCTTCGCCCACCCACCCTTCGCCCACCTGCAGCATCACCTGGCTTGCCAAGGTTCTGAGGGCGTGCGGAGCTGGAGCTCCTCCTTAGCCAGCCATGCGCGAGGCGTGCTCCTGGCAGAGGCAGGGGCAGGGGCACGGAGGGCGACGCACCTGCACCTCATCCTCCTTGCAGATGGACACGGAGTGGATGCTGTACTTCTGCCGCAGGTCCTAGGACAGCGGGGACGACACACGTGCGAGGGCGCGCTGAAGCGCCGCGTCATGAAGGGGGTTGAACTTCATGGTGGTCGTGTGCGGACAGTGGCGAGACTTGGGGTATGGGTAAGGGGACTCCTGCCCCGCTCCATCCTCGCCTGAAGTGCTGCCCCCGGCGGACGGGTGGCCTCGGAACGAGAAGGGTGAGGGAGCAGAGGGGAGGATGCCAGCGATGTGCCCCCGTTGCAAGCGCAGACCTGAGCCAAGGGGTCGCGCGCGCGGCGTGGAGAGGGTGGTCCTTGGGCGCTTTGCAGCTCTGAGGAAGGTTCGCTCGGACCAGGACAGTGCGCAACTGGGGGTTCGCGGAGAGATCTCGGGGAAGGAGGGGCCCAACGGAGTCCAGGGCTCCCAGAGTCGGAGAAGACAGCCACTGCCTTCTTGGCGCCGGACACTTTGAGGGTGTACTACCCGCCCGCTAGCGCGCCGAGATCCCGGGAGGCTCCCTCGCCTTTGGCCTGGAGCAGATGGGCGCCCTCTGCGGCCCGGGGGTGAGGTCGCAGCGTCTCGTTTCCTCTCACGCTGGGAACCCCAAAAGGTGTCACCCCGAGGGATGAGCGCCTGTTTTCCCTGGGTCTGAGGCGGGGGCGGTGGTGGTGGGTTCCTCCTGGGTCGGTAGTCTCTCTTGCCCCTGCAGTCCGCGGGCGACCTCCTCCGACCATCAAAGATTTGCTCACACCTCATAATGCAGGGCCACTACCAGACCCGGGTTTCAGATCCAGCTTTCTGCTGATGTGTCTGAGAAAGCAGCGGGAAGATGGTCACAGTTTTTTGGTTCCCGCCATCCACGCGGAAGCTCCGGAGGGAGTTCCTGGTTCGTGGCTGTGGTCTGGACAACCCTTTCAGGAATGAACCCACAGATGGAAGGAATATCCCCTCTGTCTCACGTCTCTCCCACAGTGTCTAAAGGACCCCAAACTCGGGTGTCTGGGACTCCATCCCCAGAGGACCCCAGCTTAGGCCGGCGGCCGTTGCCCCGCGCCTCCTTTCTGCACCCCTCGGGGTCTTCCTTCTCCTCAGGTCGGTCGCCCCGCGGCCTCCTTCGCTGACCGCCCAAGGCTGAGGGTGCGGGCGCCCCCTGGTGACTGAGCCAGGCCTTTGGAACATCTGCGAGGTCCCCGGTATGAAAGCTTCTGGTCCAGGCTAATCCACAGGGAGACACCCACCATGTGAAGGGCTTCTTTGTTCTTTATTTTTATTGGAAAGTCAGGTTGACAGAGAAAGATCTTCCATCCACTGTTTCACTTCTCAAGTGGCTACAACAGCAGGAGCTGAGCTGATCTGAAGCCAGGAGCTTCTTCTGGGTCTCCCATGCAGGTGCAGGGTCCCAAAGCTTTGGGGCTGTCCTCAGCTGCTTTCCCAGGCCACAAGCAGGGTGCTGGATGGGAATTGGAGCAGCTGGTATCCGTATGGGATCTTGGCACATGCAAGGCGAGGATTTAACCACTGAGCATTGTGCCGGGCCCAGCCCCTTTGCTATTGAACTCATCCATTCACTCATTTGTCCCATATCTACTGAACACCTGCTTTGTGGGGTGGGCAGGGATCGGTGTTCGTGCCTTGGGTGGCTCAGTCCTGCGTCAGGTTTTAGTTCAGATCCTGTGCAGTCAGTATTGGACGATGGCCACCCCTGAGCTGTCTGCAAAAGCCTGCCACCAAACAGTAAGCCGAGGTAAAGTGATTGAGGCAACAGCAGCTGCTCTGCCACCCAGGGAGTGTGCCCCAATATAAAGCGAGGGAGGAGTCGATCCTAAAAACGGCAGTCACCCCATTTAGCAGTGCAGGGACGGATGCTGGCATGACCGAGGGTACATGAGAGGGGCCAGAGGTCCTCTGCAGGGTGGCCATTGTAGAGCCGTGCCCACTCCCTTCGAGCGCATTCTCTCACTGGCTCCACCTCTGCTCACGCCTGCATCAGACGTTGCATTTCCTGTCATGATGCGTTAACTCATTGGACACATCCATTCATTTGCTCATCCATTTTACTCGATGCACCCAAAGGAGAAATCATAAAAAATGATACCCAGGGCTAGGATGTGGCACAGCAGGATGATGCCAGTGTCCCTTGCCATCGCCAGTGTGAATCCTCACTGCCAGTCAAGCCCCCTGTTAATGCACAGGAGGGCACACTTGAGGATGACTGCCCAAGTGCTTGAGACCAGAGTCCCCAGACTTTGGCCCGGTTCAGCCTTGGCCATCGTGGCCATTTGGGGAGAGAACTAGAAGATGGAAGATGTGTCATTTTGGTGCTCTCTGTGGGTGGCAGGGACCCAAACAACCATTACCAGCCGTCTTCTTGGCTTGCATGAGTAGGAAAGTGTACTCAGGAAAGGAGGGACTGAACCAGCTGCTGGATGTGGATTCCCGAGAGGCACTGTCTGCGCCCAACGCCCACCCCATCCCTGGTGTTGACCCACGCTGATGCTGGACCACAGGATCGGAGCCATTCTCAGTAGCTGCTGTCTCTTTGTGAAACTGCAGGCCAACTGTAATAGGAGGATGCCAGGGCCTTGGGGGGATTTATGAAACATGTTATGGATGGAGCTGCTGGTTCAAAGCCATGGGAGAAGTGTTGTCAAGGAAATGTTATTATATTAGGGAGCTACTCACGTGGAGCCACAGCTGCCGCTTACAACGGCTCTTCTAACTCATATGCAGTTTCTTCGCACCTATTCAAACATCATTTCCACAATGGCCCTTGGAGGTCATTTCATTTCCATCCCTGTTTGTATCCAAGGACACTGAGGCATGGAAGGATTAAGGATGCAGACCGAGATGTCAGGCAGAAGGTGGCAGACGCAAGGAAGGGCTGAATCCACTCAGTCCCAACTTTCTCACCATCCTAGGACCTTTTCCACACTTTCAACCCCTCCCCTTCAGTAGCATCGCCTCCACTCTGACAGCAGTCCCCCACAGCCCACTCCTCCAGGGCTCCCCAACCCCAATCGAGGCAGTAAGACCCACGCAGCCGTACTTGAGAAAATCAGACTTTTAATCATCTCATATTTGAATCCAACAAGGAGGGGAAACACTAAACATTTTTTTTTCCTTGAGATCTTGTTTGCAAGAGGTCAGAGGTGCCTCTTGCATAAGAGACTGACATCCCAAAATATGTCTTCAGGGTTTTGTTTTTAATATATGCATCCAAGTGGGATTCCGACCCCTGTGCATGCCACACATAACCTACCCCACCCTCCACAGGGCACGCACTCATACCCGGGTGTGTGTGTGTGTGTTTGGGGTGGGGTGGGGGGAGCTCCCTTCTGTAACCAGAGAACAGAATGTGAAACAGAAATCCATTCAAGTGGCCCTGGATACCAGAAATAGCCAAAGACCGTTTATACGCACAGCACCGGTCAGTTCCTCTGTCCAAGGGGAAGCTCCTGTAGCAGGAATCTGGAGTCCCAAACTACAAATGGTCAAGGCTTGAGCTACCTTTATAGATAATTAAAAAATAACAACAACAAAAAAATGTCCTTCCACTGGCACTCCCCTTCATTACAAAAGTATGCAAACCATCTTGATATAAATGGAAAACAGGCAGGCTGCTGTTTCCTTGGGACATGGGGCCTGGCTAGAATTCCTTGTGTGGAATTCATGCCTAAATCACTACCCGCCCCCACACCCCCTTATGGGACAAAAGGAGAGGATGGGGGGGGGGAGCAGTGGGGCAAGGACCCAACTCAGGAGCCACAGGGGAGACACTGAAGTCGGGCCATGGGCCAGTCAAGGTCAAGTGAGCCACGGCTGCAGGGGGATCTCGATGCTCTGTGCCCCTGGGAGCCTGGGAGGTGCAGCTCCAAGAAGGGAGGAGGGCTGGCCCGCTTGGTTCACCCATGTGTGGGCTGGGGATCACTGGTGGCTTATTTCAGGGCTAAGGGGAAGGATGCTGTGTCCTGGACAAGTACCTGGTCTCCAAGTCCCATCACCCCTATCCCCTGCCACTGCAGACCCCAGCAAAACTGTGTGTGTGTGTGTGTGTGTGTGTGTGTGTGTGTGTGGCGGGGTGTTGGGGGAAGATGAGAGGGAGGAACCAGCCCCTCTACCAAGAGCTATTAGCGCCAGATGGGGCACAAATCACTGGGACACAGTGGTGGCCAGAGGAAGAGGACCGAGAAGGGGTCACCTAGGACCTGGAAACGCAGTCTGAGTCTCTATTGTGGCACCTGCTCTCAGGAGAACAGGGGTGGGGATGAGTGTGAGACCCACCTGGGCTCTGGATGGGCAGGAGAGGAAGCACGGGTTCCATCGACAGGGTCAAATCTCAAGGGCACCGAAGGCAGTGCCAAGTGGGAGTCCCTCTGGGCAGTGTAGTCCCAGAGCTGAGAGTCCAGGCAGAAACCAAGCCATGAGTGTTTTGGGGGTGGCGGTGGGGGAAGTACACTCTCATTCCAAGGGTTGAGGGGCTGTACGATTGTCAAAGCCAGGCTGACAATGGGGCTGTGGGGGTTCTGGGTGTTTCTCCGTGGCGTGGTAGGGGAAGGACTGCAGTGAACTGGGGTTGGTGGGCAGGAAGGTGGCAGGTGGGGGGCTTTCCAACCTCCCTGGGACTTCTCTCTTCAATGCCTGACTCCTGTCTTAGGAGTCCCCAGGGAGAAAGGGCACAACTTCTCAGGCAGGGACATTTGCCTAAAAGGAAACTTGAAGAAAAAAGGTAGCTGCAGAGCTTGGAGCCACCCATTTCCCTTTAACCCCAATTAGGGGACACAGCCAGGTCCTCGGCCAGGAGTCGGCCCTGGCCGCTGGTCCTCGGAGCCCAGGAGCGGACAGCTTGGGCGGTCAGTGGATCTTGCCCAGCTGGATCTTCTTCCAGGCCTCCGAGGCCGTGAAGATGCAAGAGTCCAGGATGCCAGCAACAGTGAAGGTCCCGCCAATGATGGCACAGATCTGGAGGAGGGTAGAGGGAGAGGCAGGTCCCAAATCAGAAGTCAGCAGGAAGGAACCACCAGGCCAGATCCCTCCCATTCCACCAGAGGTGGAGTCTGCACCCACAGACCCTCTGTCCCCCCACTTGTGCCCAGCATGCTTGCCACCAAGGTCATCAGCAGTGCCTGGGACTGCTCAAGTGTGATGATAACGAAGGGTTTTCTCACACCAGTGCCTTGAATTCCCATACAAATTCTCTGAATGGGGAAAGGGATCAGACTCATTTCACAGGCGAGAACAAAGCCTGGTCAGGTGATCTGCCTCCATGACAACTGCACAGCAATGACTTGACCTGTGGTCAGCACTGACCCTGAATCTTATGGGTCTTTTTTTCTTTTTAAATTTTCATGGGAAAGGCAGATTTACAGAGAGGAAGAGAGAAAGATCTTCCATACGTTGGTTCACTCCCCAAGTAGCTGCAACAGGTAATGCTGAGCTGATCTGAAGCCAGGAGCCTCTTCTGGGTCTCAGTTAGGGAAGTCCCTGGGGACGGCTTGGAGCCGTGGAACTGTGGAGCCATGGAGACACTGTGGGACAGTGGCCAGCCACGGACGTGGGACCACTGGAGGCCTCTGGGCAATGGCAGCACCCTCTTGGGTCAGTGGGTGCCAAGTGATGGCAAGCCAGGAGAGCACAGGAAAGGAGGGTTGGGTGAATTGGATGGTGTTTGTTTCATGAAATGACATTTCCATGAGATGAGCTAAGCAGAGGTCTGAACGGCCCCAGACGGACAGAGCGGGTCTGTACGGGTGCTCTGTAAGTGGAGCAGCTGGCATTCCAGTAATAATAGCCTGCGACGCCGCAGCAGCCTCCCAGGGCGTGCGGGGGGCCGGCGGGCGCTGGGGGGGAGGGTGGATTAGGTTGAAGTGTTTTGAAGCAGGCAAGGCTCTCCCCACCAGCATCTCCGTGCATGACGCAGGGGCACTTTTCCGGGATGATGACGGCAGGGGAGTGGGTTAATTTCGGCGGAGTGGGTCAGATGATGGGAGATTTTTTAGACCACAAAATGCTTTTAGAGCTTAGATCACAGGATAGGAAAGCATGACTTAAGTGCAAGGGAGCAAAAAATAAAAAAAAAACAACCACACACACACACACACACACACAATCTGTATTCATCTGTACACAGTTTGGAACCCAAGCACCTATGAGTCACAGGCACCTGGCACTGGCTCTGAAAGCCTTCTTTCACGGAAGCCTGGGGCAGAGGGAGACAACACACGCATTGCGAGGTACACAAGGGAACACGTGGCCTGTGGGGAAATGGAGGTTTGGGGAGCAAGGCAGCAGCCAAGCCAACGACCTAGTCACACAGCAAGTCACCGTGAGCGCCGGGCTCAGGGGTCCTGCGTGAGCTCCTGTGTGCATGCACTGATGCCACTGACCTTGATTCAACCGTGGACCCCTGTGACTCTCCGTATGCTGAAGGATCGACTGAGCAGCTCTGTGTGTTGGGGGAAAATTCTGGCCCATCGCATGGAGGTCCCTCTAAGCTGCTAGGACCTCCTGATGTCATGACACACTCCAAGAGCTCAGGTGCTACTATGATAAAGTTTCATTTACAAACTAGCATACGGGAGCAGGTGTTTAGCTTAGCAGTTAAGATGCCAGCATCCCATACTGGAGTGCCCCTGGTTGCAGTCCCAGCTCCAGCTCCTGACTCCAGCTTCCTACTAACACTACCTTGGGAGGCAGTAGCGAGGGTTCAGATCACCGGGTTGCCCATGTGAGAGACTGGGTTGAGGTTCCTAGCTCCTTGGCTTCAGCCCTGGCTGTTGCAAGCATCTGGGGACAGAGTTCTTTGTCTCTTTGCCTTACAGATAAATGTTAGGGGTCCAGCATGATGGTTCAATTCATTGATATTCCTCATGCATGCACTGGGATCCCCTATGGGTGCTAGTATGTGTTCTGGCTGCTCTACTTCCCATCTAGTTCACTGCTTGTGGCCTGGGAAAACAGAAGAGGATGGCCCAAAGCCCTGGGACCCTATACCCACGTGGGAGACCCAGCAGGTCCTGGCTTTCGGATTGGCTCAGCTCTGGCTGTTGCAGCCATCTGCAGAGTTAACCAACAGATGGAAGGTCTTGCCCTCTGTCTCTTCTCTCTGTGTAATCTGCCTTTCCAATGAAAAAAAAAATCTATATATTAAAAAATGGTGATAATCATAGTCTGTAATAAGATACATAAAAGAACTTATAAATCATTTAATTATGAAAATGTTCCAGTATTTTTCAACCTCGGGTAACCGAACGTGAGAACCAAGGCTATGCCCAAGACAGGAGAGGGTGCTGCTCTATTTTCTCTTCCACCTGTTCTGGCCTCCCTGACATGCTGGTGTCCGTCATGCGGTGACGGATGTTGATGGCAAGCAGGGCCTGAAGGTGGGGCTCTGGGGATTCCCAGGCTGCAGCGCTCCTAGCATTCTGTCACCAGGACACAGACGCCCCAAGTGCCAAGGTGCTATTCTGCCTGGCTAGAGAAGTAGCATCTTCATCCTGCCTAAGGTTCCTACAGTCTGAAACAAGGGGAGTGATGCCTCAAGGCTGCCCATGAGGACACGTGGCTTTAGGCTCAAGTCCTATGGTGGCCGCACCCAAGATCCTTAGAATACAGGAAAAGACGACCTTGGCAGAGACCACCATGAGGCTGCAGGAAATGCCAGGGACCCAGAACACAGACTGGACACTGAACACAGTGATGCCACCAGCAAAAGGGATGGGGGGTAGGGGGAACTCGACCACTTCCTGACCGTCAGGATAAGACACACACAGAGGACAATACAGCAGGCAGGCACTTGGCCCGGCGGTTACACTGTCACTTGGGATACCTACATCTAACATGGAGGTTCCTAGGTTCAACACCCAGTTCTGGCTCCTGACTCTTAGCTTGCTGCTAACACAGACCCTGGTAGGCAATAGTGATAGTTCAAGCAATTGGTTCCTGCCAATCAAGAGGGAGACTTGAATTCCTGGCTCTTGGTTTTGGCTGCCAGGCTGGCCCAGAGCTACTTTGGGTATGTGGGCAGTCAACCAGCAGATGAAAGCTCTATATTTGTCTCTATGAAATAAATACTCCTCAGTCTAGCATAATGGCTCAATCGGCTAATCCTCCACCTCCAAGTGCTGGGATCTTATATGGGTGCTAGTTTGTGTCCTGGCTACTTTATGTCCGATCCAGTTCCCTGTTAATGTGTCTGCAAAAGCAGTGGAAGACAGCTCAAGTCCTTGGGACCCTCCACCCAGGGGGACGACCTGGCTCCTGATCAGCTCAGCTCTGGCTGTGACAGCCACTTGGGGGAGTGAACCAGTGGATGGAAGATCTCTCTCCATCTCTCCTCCTTCTCCCCATAAATTTGATCTGTCTTTCCAAGAAAATAAATAAATTAAAAAACACAGAAAACAGGCAAATCACTCCTACAACATGTTGTTCTTTGTACAGAAAAGCCAGGGGAATGAGGCGTCCTTGGGGGCAGCATAGGCAAGGCAGGGGGTGTGTGGTGAGGCCCAGGCAGTTCCCAGCGGGTCTCCCTGCTGAGGCACAGCAGGGTGAAGGTGGCCTCTGGAGGCCGGGTCCTGAGTGTTGGTATCTGCGGTGTGGAAGCTCAGTGGGAAAGCCACTTCTGAAGTCAGTAACACACACGGAGAGAGGGAAGAGGGAGAGAGAGAGATCTTCCATCTGCTGATTAACTCCCCAGATAGCCCAAGTTAGGAGCCATGACTTTGTCCCAGGTTCCAGCAGTGATGGCAGGAATCCAAACCCTTGAGTCAACTCCCACTGTTTTCCCCAGGCCATTAGCAGAGAGCTGGTCAGGAAGTTGAGGATCATGAACCAGCACCCATGTGAGATGCCGGCACGGTAAGCAGTGGTCTTACCCGCTAAGCCACAATGCCATTTCCTGAGATCTAGAGTTTTCTAAACCTCTCTGAAGAACACAGATAGAAAAAAAAAGGAGAAAACACCAGTAATTCCCCCTGGAAAGACCCTTGTGCCCCTGGCACCCCAAGCAGAGGAACAAGTTAACTCCCTGATGACCAGGCAGGTTCCTCCAAGATGTCCAGGCACTCTGAGGGTCCCCCAAAGCCCTTTCAGCACCCCATTAAACAGACGGGGAAGCTGAGGCCCAGAAGGAGTTTTTCCCAAGATGAATGAGGGGGAAGGTTCTGATGTGACAAATCGCTAAAAGAACAACTTAGGGAAGGAGCAGAATTCCACTTTCAGGGGTGAGGCCAAGGTGGTACACCTGCTCACGGGGCTGGGGTGGCGGGGGGAGGCGGCGCTGATGTTAAGGTGGGTGGGAAGATTTCGTTCTGCCCACTCAGTCACCAGCGCTCTCCAGCTGTGGGACAGGGGTCCCTGTGCCACCACCGAGAGCAGCTGGCTTGGCAGCATGGCAGAACTTGGTTTGGATTCACCCTATTCACACCCCTTGGTGTCCCCATCTCCCCATGCCTCAGGCCCTAAGGGAGGGGACAGGCTGGGGTGCAGGGTCACCCGACAGGGGCTGAGGGAACGCGACTGCTGAGCCAAAAAGGATCACCCCAGCCCGGCCCTCTGGTGAGCAGCCCCTAGTACCAGCGATGACGGCAAGGACAAGTCAAATGCCAGGCCACAGCACATCTGGGCAGAGCACTTCTAGGACGCCCATGCAAAGTCACCAGGGGTACCTCCCTGTCCCAGCCACTCACGGGGACAATAACCAAGCCAGTGTATCTAGTAAAAGGTGGGTGCTGGGGGAACACCCCTTCCATTCTGCTCACAGCACCACGCTCCTTCTCACATGGCGAGGATGTGTTCAGGCCATGCTGGCCGCAGCCATTCCTCACTCACACACATGGGATGCAACCCTTGTGGGACGGGCGGCCTGGGTGACACCCTCAACACTCCCGGGGTGGAAGCCCACCTCTGCAAGGTTGGCCCCAGAAAAGCCAGGATCCCCTCCCTAAGCCTCAGTGTCTCCCATC